CAAAGTGACTGAAAGTTTCTCCCCTTGTAGGGAAGGATGAAGAGAGAGATGTATGGAGAGAGGCTTTGCAGCTACTTTCTGTTATGTGAATATATCACTTGCCCCAGTAAGAATTGGCAATGACAAAAGTGCCCTGAAGAGTGAGCTTAGAACTGGATGCGCACATCCTGTTCAAATGAAAATAAAAGCTTCCCCACACACCCTTCACTCAGACCTGCCTCAGGAATCTATGCTCACAGGTTGTGTCCGTCTTAGATTCTATTACACCTGCCCAGCTCTTTGCCTTCCCATCATCCAAGACTATTCTATCCTGGTGATTCTTGGTTGCTGCCATTGCTTTATTCCATATGCAGAAGTCTGAGGAGACCTAGGAGGTGGGAAAACTGTTCAAACTGTTCACTGGTAGTGTGTGGCAAATCAGATGCTGGGTATGGTCCTGGGTATGGTCCATGGGTATGGTCCTGTGCTGTGAGTGCCTTTTATTGTGTTGATATTTGTAAGAGGCTTCTGGCAAGCAGCTTTTGAGAGTGAATGTGATGTCAGAATGTAGCTTTGTGTTCCAAGTTTCACTTCCCACCTTTGCTGAACTACCTTCAGACTTGTAGCAGTTAAGGCTGTAATCATAGCCTGATAAAAATTCTTCACACTCCTAAGCTATCTTCCTTGCAAGGCAGTAAGAAGGAGTTTGGATGGAACTTTTCCTACTGCCCTATTAAGTGAACCACAGACTTAGATTCAACCAGATTTTGAGCCACCTTGTACCTCAGCCCTCTTTCTAAGTTACCATCAGACATTTTCACTCTCTAGCTTCTCTCTGCTACAAGCCAGGTACTAGTGCTACATCCACCTATAGCCATGGAAGGTGGTAGTTTCAACTTGGTCTAGTGCTTCAGTCACACACTTGCCAAACTGGCCTGCTAAGGGTATAGTACAGCCAGTATTTTCTGTGGCAGGTGGCAGTGATTGAGAATGAAGTGCAGATCTAGAAAACAAAATTATTTTCACTTTGACCATTAAAAACCAAAATGAAGATAAGAGTTTTGTGCTTTTAATGAGTTGCTTGAAAAGAAGTAAACAGCTGTTGTGCTGTGGTGCTTCATGCAAGTTCCGTGCTACAGTGCAAGAACCTAAACCCAGCTGAGCTAGTAAGTGGTGTATGATGTCAACTTCCAGACCCTGATCTCTTAACTTTTGGCCAGGTACATGCACTCCACCCCCATTTAGGCCCTGCTTGCATACAGTGTCCCCCTCCCTCTCCCTCCTCTGAGTTTCTGCTTATTAATCACATATCAGAAGAGATCCTAAAACTACCAATTACACAGGCATCTAGAATGGTTTGCAGAGGCCTCTTGTTTTTGTACCCAATCTGGAAAGAGAGTGTGACTGCTGATGTAGTTTGCCCTATGGTTGCAGTTCAGACCATCTCAGCACCTGAACTAAGATAGGAATTACATTGATCTAGCTCTAGTCCCCATTCTTTTGTTCTGGTGGCCTAGATGAGCTTTCGAAGTACGTTCAGGTTTTGAATTCAGCATAATTGTCAACTGGAGGATTTTGGGCCATCTCCAATATTAGTTGGTGAGTAAGAGAACCATTTGGTATGACAAGCCTGACTAAGGATGTCCTGCAATGACTGGGACATGTATTGATATCCCAGATTCATCCCTGAAAAAGGTAAGTTAGCTACCATGATGCCCTTTCTAGCAAGTGTGATGACCATGCCAAACAACCTTGTAGGTAGAGTTTTGTGTACCTAGTTGCTTCCTCCAGAGATAACCCTGGGAGAAGGCAGGTTTTGGGGACATGAGCTAGGCACATCTTTACACTGTGATTGGCACTGCCAAAATGTGTTCAGAGGGCCATGTTCCTGCCCACCAATAGTACCTTGCAGAGCCAGAAACTTAAAGACCTGGAGCTCATTGAAGGGAAGCAGCTGGTACATAAATGCAGTGTCAAAGGAACTACTGCCTCAGGACCCTCTCATGGGCCCAAATAAAAGGTCTTTCTTTGAAATGGTTTTGGCCAGTATGCTGATTTGACTTAATATCTCTCTCTTCCAGCCCAGTAAAGCAGAGTAGAAAACATGTCCTTGACTTACAGCATCTGAACCAAATCTTAGCCTGAGCCAGTTCCTGAGGCCTCATCCCTCATGCCATGTGAGCAAATCACCTGAGATGCATCCCAAATCTCATTACTCGTCATCCTTTCCCTGTGTTCCCCAGGCTAGCTTCCTTCATACTGGAGCATAGAGAATGCCCAAGTTGCTGGAGAATCCTAGACCCTAGGAATCTGAGGTCTGGGGATGCACAGCATTTCCCAAAAGTTAAAAGTAGGCCCCACGAGGGGCCAGACCAAATGTCAGATTCGCCTCTGCAGGGATGGAAAATGGGTATAGATTCCAGGACCAAGGGATGAGAAGCAGCCAGCCACACACCTTTGACATCCACAAAAGTCTGGGCAAGAGCTCCTGACTGAACCAAGGTTAATGAGCCCATAAAATGCACTCTAGAAAAAATCATCTGTCTTAGCCACAAGAAGCCAGTCAGCCCTTTGCTACTCCATGCCTCTCATGACCCTGTCCCTAAAGACAGGAGAAACTACTTTTAAATTAAATT